GAAAGAGCAGTCAACCAAGAACTCGCTGATGGAATTTCTCCCTGACTCCTCAGGTCCAACAGCCACGCTGTTCAGAGAAGGGATCCCTCCTTGGAAGTAGGTATGAAAGAGAAAGACTTTGAGCTCAGCAATTTTTTATTTTCTACTATTATTGTTAAAACATCACTCGCTTCCTGGAGTAAAGGCTCATAGGCCAAGGGGGATCCCGGCCCCTTGACAACCAGCTCCTTTATGGGCAAGGTTGAGAAGGTCTTTGCAGAGGTGTGAAGCCCATCCCCACACATTTGATTTGGTCCCTGTCTCCCAATTCCCACATCTAGTTTCCTTCCTCTCAACTCCATCACATCTCCTCATGCCTCCTTCCAGGCCAAATGAGCCCTGGGAAGGAAAGGGTTATCTCAGGGAAAGTGGGGGTGGGAAACACCTGTAGGATGCTTTCTGGGAGGAAGAGGCTTCAGTGGCCCTGAGGACAGAAAGCTGAGAGGAGATTTGCCACCACCACAATGGAAGGAGTGAAGATTAGACACCAGACAGAAACTAGAAAGCATTAGAGGGGAGGAGAAAAATGGGTGTCTCATCAGCTCCTTGGAAGCAGGAAGTCATTGTCTGCCTTCTCTAGCTTTTCTCTTCTCTACCCATATCCCTTATACATTCTAGGAGGTCCTTGATCTCCAAAGCCCCGTCTACACAGGCCTCAGCTACTCGGATAACATTCCACTGAGCCTCTGGATACAATCCCAGAGGCAAGTCCAGGCATCCAAACTCAAATGAGGTTTGGAGCTGAGTAATCAGCTGCTGTGGCCGTGCAGACATTTTGTGGGGGGAACCACCAGCTCCCCACCCCCACCGTGGTTTGGGGGGTGGAGGAGGGGCGGTCTGACACTAGGTGTCTTCCCACCCTTGCTCCCACCACCACATGCTCCCTCTTCCCACCTGCAAGTAATTTGGCCAATGGGAGGGCAGTTAAGATTGCAGCATGGACTCCCTCCAGATCTGTGTGCATTTGGTGAGGAAGGGGCTACCTCTTTTCCCCCTAGACCCCGTGTGCCTTTTTCCTCTTCACAGCAGCAAATTACTTATAATTATCTCACATTGAAAGCCTTCAGGAGCTGCTCCCAGAATTGCTTTAATTGAATTAATTGAATCTCATTTTGTTGGGGCGGGGAGCACAAGGGACATGTCTTAAAATAGTATACAGAAGAGCGGGAAGGAGAGTGATGCAGGAGGGAGGGGAAGCCCCAAGTCAGCTCTCCTATGGCTGAGACCCTTGTAGGTGATAACACCAGCCCGGGCTGGAGCTCCGACATTCTCCAGGCACATTTTCTCATTTTCTAGATTCAGCTGATTTCAGATGCAATGTGCTGCCAGCCTTTTTGCATCTGGGACCTTGTCTGTGTCCTGCTCTCAGGTGGTAGGGACCAGGGATGTGTTGAGCCCCATTCTTCCTCCTCCCTTCAGGAGGCAGGTCTGCCCAAGACTCAGGAGGTGAATGGATGTCAGCCTGAATCCTGCCTCCCTGTAACTCCTCCCCTTCCCCACAATCATAACAGCAGCTGTTTATTAAGTGCTTACTATGTTCCAGGCGCCTGTGTCAAACATGTTATAAGCACTATCTCATTTTGTCATCACACTACACTAGGAAGCAAGTCCTATTAGTATTCCTGTCTTGTGGGGGAGGCTGAGAGAGAGGTTAAGTAATTTGCCAAAAGTCACACAACTAGCAGGCAGCAGAGTTGGGACCCTTTGAAGGCCAAAGCCCCTGTTCTTAACCCTTTAGTCTTGTTCCCCTCCTTATCAAGCCTATTTTCCCAGCACAGCAGCCTCACAGGAGGAAACCACTGGGTTCTCCTTCCATAGCCTGATGTCCTGAGGGAAGAGAATGGGGCACCACCCCTACTAGGGCTCCAGGCCCAGCCCCACCGGAGCCCAGGGAAACCAGACCAACTCCCAAGTGGAAGAGAGATCCCCATTTTCACTAAAAAGGGCAGACAGGGGTAAGGAAGGTGGGGATGCTGTCAGCTCTGCTGGCCTCTGGCTGAGGGAGTAATTACACTCCTCCTGCTACTTAACTTTACAACCTGGGCTGTTGTTTTAACGATGCACTCCGTGTTGGGCTGTCCAATTAATCTCGCCTTTGGAGGCTTTCCGAGATGAAGCGGTAGATCTTATCTTGGGTCTGTGGAAAGAGGAGTGTGCAACCTGCAGTGGGAGGGAACAGTTGCCCTGAGGGCCTGTGGCCTCAGAAGAGACCCAGAGGATGGATCTGGGATCAGGGCCACAGAGAACTGGTGGAGACCAGGACCTGGGGCCAGGCACTGGAGGAAAGAGGAAGATGTTTCTACTCCCATTCCTCACCGCTCCTGGATCTTGACTTTGGCTCCTTCGCGCCATTGGCTATCCCCAAGAGAATCCTTTATGTGTGTTTTGGGGACAGGGGTGGCTATGTCCCAGAATGGGCTGAATAACAGGGGCCAAGGAGGAACTTATTGCAGGTATCTCCTAGAGCTGGGGGGCTTCCCTTCTGCCCTACATATGACCTTAATTTGGCCACCTATCTGGCCTGCTGGAGTTGGCTGGAAGTGCTTGAGTGGGCTTTTCAGACTGAAGAAGGCTCCTAGTTTGCAGTTCCTGGGAACAGGTTTAGGCAGTAAGAGGGAAGCTGGGCTTGGGAGATTTTGCCTGGAATTGGAGGCCCTTCCCCCAACCCCTCAGGCCAGACTGGGCTGAATTCCCTGAATTATTCCACCAGCCCCTCACCCTCCTCCTCAGTTCCCCGCTCTACCCCAGGGCTCTCTGATCCCTGGGGGCACTGTGCCTGAGGTGGGGTGCTAGTGCTGGTGCCTGTGTATCTGCTGGGAATTTGCCACTGGATCCTGCTGCTCCCTGGTTGCCCACCCTTCTCACCTGGCACTGACTTCCTTGGCCCAAGCTGTATTGAGAAGTCCCTTACAATGTCCCTCCCGTTAGCCTATTAACCTGAAGTATCTCCCTCAGTCATCTTGGTATTTCCAGGATCTCAGGCAAAGCAGAGGATGTTTATTGGATGGAAAAGAATTCCTGTTCCTTCTAGCGTTCTCCTTCTTCTCCCCCTCCTCTTTCTTTTTCTTTTTTTTTTTTTTTTTTGAGACAGAGCCTCAAGCTGTCCCCCTGGGTAGAGTGCAGTGGCATTACAGCTCACAGCAACCTCCAACTCCTGGGCTCAAGCGAGTCTCCTGCCTCCACCTCCCAAGTAACTGGGACCACAGGCACCCGCCACAACGCCCAACGCCCGGCCATTTTTTGGTTGCAGCCGTCATTGTTGTTTGGCAGGTCCGGGCTGGGGATTCGAACCCGCCACCTTAGGTGTAGGTGGCTGGCGCCTTAGCCGGTTGAGCTATAGGCTCCGAGCCCCACTCCTCTTTCTTCATGGTGAGCTAAGGCCATTCCATTGCCAAGCAGTAGGACTGAACTGGTTCAGAGGGTAAGTCCTCTCCCAAGGTGAGCAGAGGCATAGGGGCTTTGAAGTACCTGGTTCCCTCCAGAACTGGGCCAGGAGAGAATTTGCTAGTGAGGATTACTTAGATCTTGGTCATTCCCAGCATGAGTGCCTTCTGGGTTCACACTAGAGCATATAAAACTATGGACATTATCAGAACATTCCAGAGCTAGAACCACAGAGCTGGTTAGTGGCAGAGGCAAATCTAGAATCCAGTGCCTCTGACTTCTAGTTCAGGGGCAGACTAGCCAGATGGGAGAGAAGGGATGAGCAACCAGCCCCCATCCCTGAGAAGTCAGGGAACAAACACATCTGGACCTAAGTTTTTGTACAAACTTTAATTTCTGGAAGGTTGTGGTATGAAGGAGGGTAAGAGCTTAGGGGATGCTAGTTGGATTGGTAATCAATCTGAGCACTTCCTTTGGACAGAGACAGCCATGAAGAACTGAATTGCCAGCCCTGCCCCAACTATTTGGGGAAGTCTACACCTGTACTCATCCAGAGAGCCTATTTCCCCCCATTTCCCCTAAAGTTTTACCCAACTGGGTTTCTAAGAGTGTGTGCATGCGCTTTTGTTAGGTACTAGGGGCAGGGGAGTAGGAGAGGGTAGCCTCTCAATAAATACCTGTTGCATTCTATGGATAATTAGATCCATTGTCTACTCAAACTGGGTAGCCAAGGGGAAAAGAGGGCTTGGTTAGGAGGAGAGCATAAATTACCCACAGGTCCCAAGACTTCACAGTTCCCTGCATCCTTTCTACCTCACAGGATGGTGAACAGGTGTATCAGTTATGAGGGCAATGGGGTGACCTCCAGGAAAAATTAGTGGTTAGGTGGGACTGAATGTCCACTTCCGCTTTTGTCCACAAATAAGATGGGCAAAGCACAAAAAGAGAAAAAAGAATACTCTTGTTGGTTTTCACTTCAGGCTGTGATGGGGCTGCAGTCCTTTCAAGGGGGTGGGGGGGGGAAGGGATGGGAGTGGCAAGACCAAGAACCCTGGCAGTCTCAGATCCAGCCAATGACTCTCTCCAGCTGGAGGGAAGGTGTTCAGTCCACAGTGGTAAGAAGCACAGTGGTTAAGGCTGGGGAAGACTGGGGTTCTTTTTTTTTTTTTTTTGAGACAGGAGCCTCAAGCTGTCCCCCTGGGTAGAGTGCCGTGGCATTACAGCTCACAGCAACCTCCAACTCCTGGGCTCAAGCGAGTCTTCTGCCTCTGCCTCCCAAGTAGCTGGGACAACAGGTGCCCGCCCGCCACAACGCCCGGCTATTTTTTGGTTGCAGCCGTCATTGTTGTTTGGCGGGCAGGCTGGATTCGAACCCGCCACCTTGGGTGTACGTGGCTGGCGCCTTAGCCACTTGAGCCACAGGCGCCGAGCCAAGGCTGAGGTTCTTGATTTAGCTCTTTGGGTTGGGGTAAAGGACTCCACCTCATCCCATTGTTTTCTTCTCTGGCTCCTTGTTCTCCAGAGAAAACCATGTGGAGCTGGTTTTCTCCAGGCCCAGAAGAGAGAGGGTACAGGTGGGCTGGGGGCCAGACCTGCCCTTGCCCAGACTCACATCATCTGAGGTGAAGCCAGCACATCTGGGGAGTGATGCTGATACCAGGCACCAAAGCTGTTGCCATAGCCACCAGTGGGCAGGGTCCCCACCTTGGGTAGATCCCAGAGGGAGGGAAGCGGTGGGGAGCAGGGAGACATGGAAGGGGTCCTCCCAGGGAAGTCTCCTTCCTGCCCCCCAGAGTTCTGCTTCAGGAGCTTCTTGTATTTGGAGCGTTTGTTCTGAAACCAGATCTTTACCTTTGGGGAGAAAAGGGAAGAATGGAAGCTCAGAAGGTGGATATGTATGGAAAGGTTCCAGAAAGAGAAGGGACCCAGCTGCTGGGAACAGTCCTAGGAGTTGAGCAGAGGCTGGGAAGTGCTAGTCCTCCGGTGCCTCAGAAGTCCCCTGAGTTCCTGCCTGCCAGCCAGTATCCAGTTCTCCCAGTCTGATATACCCTCCTCACTCCCTCCCACCACACACACATTCACCTTTCAACACACATCCCCCAAACACTTTCTGAGAACCAGCCATGAACACTCCTATTGAACTGTGACAACAATGCCAGGTCATTCGCACCTGGGGAGTGAGTTCCCAGAGCACACACTTGGGGGAGGTCAGAGCAAGGAAAGGATGGGACTGGCCCCACCTGGGTCTGGGTGAGGCCAAGCTGCGCTGCCAGCTGGGCCCTCTCCGGCAGCGCCAGATACTGCGTGTGCTGGAAACGCTGGTTCAGGTGCTGCAGCTGCAGGCTGGAGTAGATGGTCCTTGGCTTGCGCAGCTTCTTGACTGGGGGGGCCTGCGGGCGTCGCTCGGAGGGGTCCCGGGACAGCAGCGGCTTTTCAGAGTCTGGGTGGCAGCAGAAGACGGTGGGGAGTGGGGGGAGAGTGAGGAGATAGGGCGTGTTTATTCGCACCTCGTCTGTATGCCGCCCCAGCAGACTGGCAAAAAAAAAAAAAAAACCCACAGTCGCCAGACTCGACCCTTGGGCCCTTCTCTACACTTGTCAAGCTCTTTTCGACCCCCATCCACATTCACTGTACCAGAGGTGATACCTGACGCACTTCTCTCAGGGAGCTCCCACTCTTATGGGTCCTGTGACCCTAGGAAGAAAGAGCCTAGGGCCAGGGCGAGGGGACTGCGGCGCCTGCGGTGGGAGGTCGGAGTTCAGCCGGGTGCGGTGGCGCCAGCTAGGAGTAGGGCGGGGCAGAAAGGCTGGGTCTAGGGCTGAGCTGAGGCCTAGAGACGACAGAGGAAGGGCATTCCGAGCGGAGGGGACTCGAAGGCAATGCTCAGAGTCTCAAGATAGTGTCTGCGTGGCAACCCCTGGCTGGGCTGCCGCAAGAGGGGGTGGCTCAGAGGCCCGGCTGAGCCAGCCTCGAATGCCAGCATCACGGCATGGAAAGTGACCCCCAGGGTTTGCCATCGCCTCTCCTAGGATGTGTCCTGCAAAAACAGTGACCATCTCTCTCCTCCCCCATTGCTAGCTGGGTTTCCAGGAACCTCATAAACCCAGTCCGCATGGATCAACCCTTTCCTCCGCTCTGCCGCGCCCAGAGGGAGTCTGGTGTGCAAAGGTGACCGGGGTCTACAGCGCACAGCGCAGGACCGCAAGCTGCTTTTGGCGAGCGCTGCCGTGCCACGGTGGGAGATCTGGTCACCCATGGCCTGCCTCGCTCTCCAAGAATTTCGGCCGTGGGACGGCTCAGCCCTAGAATGAGGACGAAGGATAGAAAGCGAGGGGTTTCCATTCTTCCCAGCCAAAGCGCCAATCTGCTTCACTCTACGGGGACGCCAGAGACCATCCCAGGCCGATAGAAAAGAGTAGTGTGGATGAAGCAGCCGATGTGCCGGAGGGCTTAGGGCAAAGTTCGCCGCATTCCACGCGGGTTTGTCCATCCAACCTGAGCCTGGAGAACTCACAACCACACCCACTGCCCAGCCGCGGCTTGTGTCCGCTCTCATACTCTCATTTCCCCCTTAGTCCGTCTCACTCCCTACACATCAGGGTCCCCACCCTTGGCCAGCGGTCACCGGAGCCTTCACCTCCCCCGCGTCCTTCACCCGTGGCCTCGGGCGCTGCCAGCTCTTCAGATCCTCCCCCCCCCTTGGCCCCTGCCTCAGCCAATTCCCAGAAAAACCGTTGGGTTTCCGCTGCCGCCCGCGCCTGTCCTGTCTTCCCTGCCTCGATCCCACTGCTCACAGCCTCGGGCAGGCAGCCCAGCGACCACCCGCGCCTCTTTGGCTTGTGGGACCGCGCAATTCCAGAGGTGATGGACAGAGAGGCACGGAGGCTGACCAAGCTGCTGAACTTTCAGAGCCCTCCTAGCCCCAACTCGGAGAAGATCCCCCTCCAAGTTCCTTCCCGACAGCTGCCTTTATCTACACCAGTTAAGGCAAGTCAATACTGAATCTGCCCTGGTCGGGATAACCAAGCCCCAGGGCCTCCCTCGAGGGGCGGCAGCACCGCTGACACCAGGACGCTGTTCACACGGAGCCAAACCTCTCCCTGAGGTGGGGGTGGCCTAGAGTGGGGGAAAAGTAGAATCCCAAGACCACTCTCACACCTTAGTCATCCAGGTAGAGTGGGCTGAACCCACCAGTTCCAGTAGAGAAATCCTTGAAATCTATTCTGAGGGTATGTGTGTGTGTGTGTGTGTGTGTTGGGGGGGAGGTTTAGTTGGATCAGGGAAAGTGCACGAAGAAAATGAACTCTACACTCTGTTGTTCTTAGACCAAACAAAGAAAAGGCAAGGGGTGTGGAAGACAGGACTGACAACACAGACCCCACTGCCAACAATTCTCTTAGGTCATGTTATTCCTGTCCCATCCCCCAAACACACACAGGCGCACACACAGATATACCGTATTAGCATACACTAAAGGAAAGTCCAAGGGATTCATGTAGCAACTACAACTCCCCCCACCCACCCAGCAGCCTGGGAGAGGCAGCCCCAGTTCTGCCACAGAAGGCAGTTAACTTTTGGGGGTTCTAAGGAAGTTCCCTAAAATCCACTTTCCTGGCCCCAAGTGATGAAAGACTATTTGCAAGGGCCTAAAAAACAGGCTATGTCCTTTACCCATGCACACCCAGTCTTCAGGTCTCAGTTTGCCCATGTGTACATTAAGGAAATTGAGCTCCAAAATCCTAGGGTCGCTTCTGGCTCTTATGGTTTGTAAGCTCATATGTCAGAGCCACAGGAAAAGAGAGGAAGATGTCTTGCTGACTCTCCAGGAAAGTCACCTAGTGAATGGATGTGCACCCTTAGAAGAAACTGTGCCAAAGACAATTGCTGGGCAGAAAGTGCATAGGACCTGATGTCTGAGCTACAGCCAGTGCAAATGGTCTTATGGGCAGTGTCCATGTCCACATCATATGTCCGATTGACTATGTAAAGCCCAGGGCCAGAAGACAGGCTAGCTTCTTTCCTTCAGGGAGGCCTTCCAATGAACACTTTCTCAGGAGCTCAAAGTTGCTTTAGGAAACAGGAACTGGGGCCTAACCTACCCGAAAATCAAGGGGTGGAGATGACTGGGATGGGCTACTCCTTTGGCTGGAGGGCTGAGGTAGCCAGAGAAAGATGAGAGCGTTTCTGACCAGCCTTTCCTTAGGTTTTTTTTTGAGACATAAGTCTCACTATGTCACCCTGGGTAGAGTGCTGTGGCATCACAGCTCACAGCAACCTCAAACTCTTGAGCTTAAGCGAGTCTCTTGCCTCAGCTTCCCAAGTAGCTGGCACTACAGGCAACTGCCACAATGTCGAGCTAATTTTTTTTTTTTTTGCAGTTGTGGTTGTTTAGCAGGCCTGGGGTGGGTTTGAACCCACCACCCTTGGTGTATGTGGCCTCCGCCATAACCACTGTGCTACAGGCACGGAGCCTCCTTAAGTTTTTAGAACAAGGAATAGTGGGGTCCTAGCCCCAGGTTCTGCCAGGCTAGCTTCCATGTCAAGATCAGGCATGGTCTAAGGAGAAGAGGTAAAGACAGGGAAAGGAGGGGAAGGAGCCCAACATAAGTCTGGGCATTTACAGCCCTCCAACCTGGACTCAATTTCTGTTTATCAGGGTTTGGCTTGATCACTGCTTTCTAAGAGAAGAGGAACAGGGAGAGGGTCGCAGAGGAAAGAAAGAGAGTGTAGGACCGGGCAAATCTGGGGAGCTAGGCCCTCACCCCTACATCTGGACTGCCCCAGTTTTCCGTTATTCATAGGTACACACCACTCAACTGCTCCAGGGAATGGGTGGGGAGCCCTCCCGCCCATCTTCACACAACTGCAAATCGAAACCAGGTCGGTTTTGAAAAGAGACGTAGACTAACTCGCCCCCGCCCCTCCCCCCCACGCGCCTCCCGCCCCAACCCTTCACCCTCCCCCACCCCCAGATCCTGTAGAATCAGAGTAAGGTTTGAATCCCGCTAACTGCGTCCAGCCAGGCGAGGGCGAAGTTTAGGGGCGCACAGGAGCCTAATCCCAGAAATGGGAAGAGCCGCTGTGGCCAGACTGGACTTACCTGCCTCTGGTTCCTGTGGGTGCTCGGCGGGGCCGTGGAGGGGCTGAGAAGGTGCCGCAGGTTGCTGGTAGGACAGGTAGGGGGCCTTGGGGGTCGCTGGCCCGGTATACGGGTAGGATAGGAGGTGGCTATACGGCGTGGAGTAGGACAAATCAGGGGAGGCTGAGGTTGTAGGGGACAGGCCAAGAGGATAGGCAGCCACTACCGACGCAACAGGGGTAAGGTCTGGGAAGACAACTTTGGAGGCGTCCGGGCCAGGGAGGGGGCAGGGCAAAGTGGTCATTGCGGCCGGCGCCCGGGCCGGAGGGCCTAGGCCATGGCCCTTCACGTAGTCCGCTTCCTGCGCCAACTCTCTTTTCCCAAGCCTCGGGCGTTGGGCCGGACAAGCCCCCCAGCCAGCAGCCCCCACACGTAAGATCCCGTAGAAAGCGTCTCTCCGCGCCTCTTCCAGCGGAGAGCGCGCGCCAAGCAAAGGGGTTCCGGGGGGGGTACCCCCCATGGATTTCCCCTCCCCCCTAAGTCCATGGCCCCCCTCCTCTCCTTAGAGTTAGGTTCCTGGGACCCAACGGGGGCCCCGCCCACTTAGACGCCCCAGATTGGCTACTGCACGCGGTGACCTCACTGAGCCCGGACCGCCCGGTTGGGGCAGCCCTCAGTGGGGAAACGAGAAACTCCAGCGGATCTGTGCGCACGCTCAAGGTCCCTCTATCTTGGGGTTTTCCCGGTGAGGGGAGCCAGGGTTGCAGGGCGCTAAGTGCAATCCGGAGACCTTGGCAATAATGGCAGAAATGATGCTTAGGCGTTGGCGGGCCTGGATGCCTTAAGGGCGAGGGAGCTGCGCTGTGGGCTGTTGCACTGCGGCCGCGGGGATGCTGGGATCCTGCGTTCGCACTCTCCTGCCCTCAGGGGTCTGCACTGCGATTCCGGTCCCGCAGGTCCAAGGCTCCGGGAGTCAAGAATAGCCTGCCGGTGCCGGCGGCTTATTCAGAGCGTCGGAATGCGTCGCTGCGGAGCGCTCGCAGTTTGTTGGTAAACAGACGCTCCGGCTCGGAGGGTGCCGCCAGGCGCCCAGCCTGCCCCGCACGCGTGCTGCGCGCACGCCCCTGCGGAGCGCCCTCAGCTCGGCACCCAGCGACTGGGCCTCACCGCCCCCGGTGCCGGCTTCCGCTTCCGGCAGGGGCCCGGGTATGGTTGCGACACCGCGGCTCCTGCAGGCCCCCAGGGTGCCAAGGGGGATCGAGCATCTGGGCGTTAGCTCTTGGGTCGCCAGCCTTTCCTGTCGCTGCCTGGGGCTGAAAGCTTTGTATGGACAAGGACAAAATCTAAGAGTGGAAGATGAGTCCAGTTTGATGGTTACTGGGAGGACGCGGGAAACATGATAGGTCTGTGTTCCTGGCCTCATTTTCCAAGCTGTGTGCAGGACTTGCCTGTAAACATTAGTTCCCATGGCCTTGATAGACACGTGTTCACAAGTACACAACTACACAGGGACTCCATTCAAATATAACATATATATTTGCATATACAGCTGTCTACACAGATGTACACCTTAGCATCCTTCATATGAAAAGAGAGAGGCTCAGGGGCAGCACCTGTGGCTCAGGGAGTCGGGCGCCGGTCCCATACGCCGAGAGTGGCGGGTTCGAACCCGGCCCCAGCCAAAACTGCAACAACAACAACAAATTTCATTAAAAAAAAAAAAGAAAGAAAATAGAGAGGCTCGTTCATGGATTTACACAGAGTTTAGCGTGTGATGTTTACAAATATACATACCCAGGAGAAATAGTACTATCCCTGAATAAAAGTACGTATTTCTTACACAGATGATGCATACACAAATCAAATTGCTGGTGTACATATTTGAAAATACAGAAAATTTAAGCACATGATAATTTATGCTTATGTACCTACCCTAGGAGACATACCTGTCTGCGCACATCTAAGCTGCTTCATGTTAGGAGAGAGACATTTAACTCTCTCATCCCTTCACTCTCCAGTCTACAGATCGCACAGCAAGCCTGCACAACTCTTTCCCACTTGAGTATGCAACTTGGCAGACATGTTTGTACACACACATGCTCTCATCATCATGCTCGATAGAAAAGAACAGTGATAAGAGAAAGAAGGAATCCTGGAAGAGCAGAAGAGGGCACTAGGGGGTGGCCAGGCCCAGGCTTTCTTGGAGATACAGAAAATCAGTTGAAGGGGTGTGCAGGAGTGGTCGAAGCCCACAGTCAGGTGTCCTGCAGGGAGGAAGAGCAAATCTGCTTCAACCTAGGCTCCCCACTGAATGGTTTGAAACATGTTTTGCTAAGAAAATATTCCTTTTGGCACCTGGTTTGGAATTCTCCAAACTGAAGACTTGGAGTTAGGGAGAAGGGGTCCAATAGGGAGCCCCCTCTTCTGAGCAGTTGGAGAACCCACTCCTCTCTCATCCAACAGGGTGTGGAGAGTGCTGTCAGTAGAGAAATGCTTTTTTCCATGTGGGACCACCTTTCTTTCCTACCTAGCCACGCTACTACCTCCTTAGAGCTGAAATGTGAACCTATGAGGAAATATCATTCCAAATCTTTAGGGTGCTAAAGAGTACTTTAGGAGTATGGTTGGCTGTCAGGGAAGATTTCATAAAGGAAGTGTTTTTTACCTGGAACTGAAAGGATGTGTGGAAGGACACTTCCAAACCGTGTACCTAGAGTCCTTTCTAGGTTGGACCTGAGAAGGAAGGGCAGGTGTGGGCTTTCTGGCAGGCCTGGCCAGCAGTTGGCTTCTGGCATACTCCAAAGCCAGGAGATTCATAGTAAATGCCCCTCCTAAGTTCTCAGGAGCTGTTCTGTTCTGAACTCAGAATTCTCACTCCTATGCAGGAGCAGGAGACACCTTGTAGCCCTTTAGAATGTATCAAACACACAACATCCAAGTCATGTGCATCTTTAAAAAAAATAGGTATTATTATCTCCACTTGGTTGATTGAGATGGGGGTCTTGCTATGTTGCTCAGGCTGGTCTCAAAGTCCTAGGTTCAAGCCATCTTCCCACCTCAGCCTCTCAAGTAGCTGGGACTACAGGCTCCTGCCCAGCATTTTACAAATGAGGAAACGTCTCCCTCCATCATCACTTTTTTCTCTAGAAGGTGTGGGCCTCCCACACCTAGCTGGGAAATGTCAAAGTCTGCTCAGATGCAGTCTCCCACAGAAGAATCTCCTCTCTCTCTCCAACAGAAGCTGAATCTGGGCTCAGGAAAGGTGGAAATGAAGGGAATGGGGACAGGAAGACAGTAACCTCCTCTGATGGGAAGGGAGGAAGGCCTGGCTTGGGAGGCCCAGATTGAGAGACCTGAGAATGGGTTCCCATCCAGCCCTGAAGCTGCTGGCTCTGATAATCTGGGTCAGCCATTTCTTGTCTCTGAGACTATTTTCTCCAGAAGGGGGATAAAAGCAGGGAGCTGGTCTAAAAAACGCCAAGATATTGTCAGTTGCTTTATGATGAATTGCAAAAACTAAAATTCCAAAACAGAATAAAACCAAGAAGTGGAAGGGGAAGGAGGAAAGGTGAAAAGAAAGAACTCTCTGGCCCCTGGCTCCTCACAGAGCCAGAAATGGCTCTCTCAACTCTTTCCCCACAAATATCCTCTGGCTTAGTAAAAGGGGCCCACTTGGAGAACCCCAGCACTGTGGCGACAGCACGGGGCAGGCCTCAGAGTCTGGAGTGGGGAATCCGCGCCGCGGGGGTCTCCAGAGTTGGCCCAGGTGCAGCTATTGAACCGGATCTGCACAGGGCACGATATAGTTTGCCTGCTTCAAGAGAGTCTCTGAGCAAACGCAGGTAACGATTTCTTGCGGCAGCATAAGCACCCGTGGCGGCAGGAAGTATTCCTACCATGAAGTCACCTTGATTTTCGATTACCCTCTGTAGCAGGAACTCCTTCCTAACCCACACCCTCCCTGGCGGTTCGTAGCTCACACTGCAAACACGTGGTGAGTACGCAGAGCTCTCCGCGGAGTCGAAGGGCTTGGTAAGTCCCAGCCGCAAACTCCTGAGCAAAGGTCTATTTCTGTGTCTGGAGTTGCGCGCTGAGGTCTGTAACCCCGAGCTCACTCTCGGAGAGACACCTGCATGGATGTGCCCAGGGGAATAGTGAGACACCAATCCTGGGTCCTCGGCGGGCCCTTCTGGGATTATCTGTGCCCTTTCTCCTCGGTTCCACGAACCGTCCCCAAACGAACTGAACTTTTAGTTTAGTTTCTTTCTTTCTTTCTTTCTTTCTTTCTTTCTTTTTTTTTCTGTTTTCAGTGGATTTTTAATTGGCTTGGCGGGGCCTTTCTTGGTAACTCGGTTTGGGAAACTTCATGAATAATTCGGTTTGGCACGGGGTGAGGGGTGAGTGGATGTGGGGATGAAAAGAATAGGATAGTTTCTTCAAGCTCCCTCCGCTCTGGTCGGTGAGCTATGAATAGAGCCCCCAAATTGAATGAGGCCTGGAGAAGGAGCAGTCTGTGGAAGCCTGTGTCTCCTTCTCTGATTTGACTTTTCCTGAAATTTGGAATTATTGTGCTTCTTTTCTTCTTTCTGATGGAGCATTTAATCGCCGGTGCAAGCCAGGTGGCGGGTTGGTTACTAAGATCACCGCAAACTCAGCCAAGCACTTCGATTTGCGCTCACCTCTACGCTCCCCTGGGAGCTTTCTCTGTGATTGGAGTTCCCGCCTCATTTTACAAATAACCCGGGGAAGCTCCAGGAGGAGGAGGGGAGAGGCCCTGGGGTCAGCACCTGGATCCCGTCTCCGCTGTGCAATTAGGCTCCGCACTGAGGTCTCCAGATCCACCCTGAGCAAAGCTCACCTGGAGTCCTCTGTGATTTACTTCCAAATTTCAGTCTCAGCTCCGGGAAATCTCTTTGATATTGACTGGGATGTTTTAAGTACTCATGTATAGGAAGTCACCAAACACATTATAAACAAAACTACGAGCAACTCTTGGACTCGGACCCTCCCTTCAAAAACAAGAAAACGGTTAACAGAAGTGGAGAGGTTTTGAGGGTGCCCTGGAGGCGCGGGAGGTCTGGACTTTGACCAGCGCAGGAGCCGGGAATGGCCAGCAGGAGGGAGCGCGTAGGCGCCAGGCTGGGTGACACATGGAGAGAAAGTTCGCTCGGTGTCCCAGGCCAGACCCGAGGAGCCCGAGGAAAGTGCCAACCCTGAGCCGAGCCGACAGACCAGGGGATGGCGTGCCAGGAGCTCCGGGGGTGGGAGTGACGCGGTGAGCTGGCGGGAGCCCCTGAGGCCAACCCGGCTGCAACGAATTCGCGGCGCCTCCAAACGAAGGCAGCTCGGCGCGAAATCTCAGACCTTCCCCGACCTCGGCACGGAAACTAGGATGTTCTTCCGACATCTTTATCGCCAGGTCCCGGATGAAAACCGGAGGTAGG